AGAAAAAAAAAATCATATTTTATTTATCACTACAGAAGGGTTCAGTGAATGCGCATATGAAACTGGTGGGTTCGGTACCTCAAAAAAGGTTAAGAACCACTGCTCTAGATTATATGCATGACCAAGACAGAATATCTGGCAATGGAGGCTTAAAAATGTGGAAAATTGTTAAGAAAATAAATTATGCACCAAACAATTGATCTGACTGAAATCTACAGTTTGTCTCAGAATGGCTAGTAGGTGCTAAAATCCTGAAATGTATGATTTTTTCCACCTGTTCATTAAATGTAATAAAAGTGAAAATTCTGATACATTTTAATGATAAAATACATCATTAAACAGGATGTTTTTTAATTAACTTGGCTTTGAGTTGAGTAAAAATCAGTGGTTGGTGGAGTGTACTTTTGTCATTTCTTTTTTGTCTGAACTGATTTGCAGGTCAGAATTAACAGTCGTAGCCATAACAAAACCTTTCCGAATGAACAGTTCAGCTTGGACTGAACATAAATTGAAACAATGCCAAACTCCAAAGAAAACATTGAAAGGCTTTAATATGCCTTAAAAACATTTGAAAAGCCAAAAAAAAAAAAAAAAAAAAGAAAATCAAGACTTTGCACTGCTTTGCTCACATCATCGCATAAAGAGTGAATAATGTCATGGTGGTGCCTATTTAAGTGAGGAAGCCTGTTGCAAGCATGACTGAAAAGTTATTTTTGTGGCTCAGAACTGAAACAGACAACCATAAAAAATATTTACATTTGTTCAGTAAAACAGACTGTATGAAGTTCTGTCTCTAAAAATAGATAAGTATAAAAATCTCACCCTCGATGAAACTATTGACCAGCTGGTCCAGGTTTTCCTCGCCCATTATTGCCTGTAGCTTTTCAAACGTGTCCTTCAAGTTGTCCACAGTCTGTTCTCCTGAGAGCAACCTCTTGAGGGTCATCGCACCTGGCACTTATAAACAAAAATAACCAAAATCTGAGCAGAATCAACGGAGAATGTGCCTTTACTCAGGTTCTAAAATTATTCTACCTCTATAAGGATATAGAAATACCCCTATATACATATAAAACACACAAATGCATATAAGAAGATTTTGACTGAAACAGTAAAACTAAAGCTACCAGCCATTTCTTGAACATTTCAGTAGCACACTAAAAAATTTACTAAATTTACTATAAAACACAACCACAAGCTTTAGGATTTTGTAAGAAGTCCAGTTTGCAGTTAAAACAGCAAACTGGACTTCCGCTAGAGAACTGCAGTTCTAACGACAGCCACAGATATTTCAATAATGACCTGGCTCTATGGGTCTTAATGCTAATGTACATCAAACTTTAAAACATTAAAATTAATGTTTCAGTTTTCTTCCACTTGTATTTTGCACTTTGTATTGGTCTATTACATAAAATCCCAATAAAATACATTGAAGTTTCAGTCCAGGGACTTTTGCAAGGCACTTTCTAGCTTTGTGTAGAAAGCTACATAAAGCTTTTATTTCTCAATGGCAGTAAGAAAAGCTAAATTAATAAGTGCTGATTATACCATTTCCATTAACAAATTCAAAGCACTACACAGAGTCATCTGAGCAGAAAGCATGGTCCTACATTGTCCTGGTCCCATTTTGTCATCGAAATGCCCCAATTCCTCATTGCACTTGGTCATTATGAAGTTCTTCAGGGTATACTCGTTTGCTATAATCCTCTCAAGTTCTTTCATCTCAGTGTTGTACTGAATCAGGTCCTTCGTTGCCTTCTCTCTCAGCATTTTCATCCTGGCCAGAGCCTCCTGCCTTTAGTACAGATTACAAAAATGAGCTTCACTTCACCCTGAGTTGCTCACGACACACTAAAATATTATTATTATTAAGTTTATTTGATAGGGACAGACACACATCGACATACACAAACTGAACAAAACAGCAGTCCCATGTTTGCGTCATAGTGCAATAGCAACAGCTAATTCGCAGCACTTGTCCCTAGATGGGCTTTTAAACAGCACCTCATTTAATCATCACCTGATATCGTAAGCAGCAGTGGACAGCCTGGTCATTTCCTCAATGTTCTTACGGATTTTTTGCACTTCCTAAAGCACATTTTATATCAGAGAAGAAGAAGAAAACATAGTGTCAGATACACTGCAAAATACATAAAACTACAAATATATTTTTTGCTAATCTTTGATTAAATAATTTACATGCTCTCTAACCTTTGCTAAATTATTGCGCAGTTTCTGGAAATGTTCTCGTTCTATACAAAGAGTGCCCAGCTCCTCTTTCAGTTGGCTGTTTTTGGTCATCAGACTACTGAATTGAGTGGAAGCCTGAACACAAGTTATATGAAATATTTGAAGAAGTCAAAGACAAGAAAAACATACAGACAGCAACCTTTGGAAGCTTGTGTCACCAGTCTCAATCGTTATATTTTTTGTAACTTACTCTCTTCACATTGGATTCCATGTCGCGGATAATTTTCTTGACCTTCCGTGCCTTTGCACCTTGGGAAAGACTGCAACCGCCCTCCCCTTTTCTCATCTTTGCCAATCTCGTCTCCATGCTCAATATCTATACACAGCACAGACCAGTGACATAAATTGTGGTTTGTTTGTCCAAAAATCTAAATAAATGAAAAAATAAGAAGAGAAAAAAAACCTCTGTCTGCAGCTTTTTATGGCATTCCCTCTCCTTCTCCATTTCAATGTCTAGTTCTTTGTTTTGCTCTATCAGAGACCGGATCTCCTCACGGTCCTGCTGTTGACGAGGCAAATTTTTGCAGGCATTAAGATTTTGAAGCACCTTCTCTCGTTCTTTCAGCAGATTCCCAATTTCCTTTCTAGAAACGGATAGCAAAAAATTTTTCTGAGGATAAATGAAACATACACAGATGTGACAATCAGATTTCAATGCGTTTCTGTTCTTTATTCACTCTTGCTTGCGGATTTGCTCCCGAGCCTGGATCTCATAACCCCGCTGCTCTCTTTGTTTCATGATCCTGTACTGATTTTGAAGTTCAGCAATCTCCAATTTTGCTTGACAAAATATCAGATAAACATTTTAGTATTTTGTGTGACACAACAAATATTGAGAAAACACTAGCATTTATTGCTGAATTACAATATATCAAGTAATAACATACCCACTTCATCAGCATCCATCTCAAGATTTTCCGGACGTCCACTCACAACAGATCTTCCCTGGGCCATTGTTGTGATGAGCTTATTTAGAAAAAATACATATTTTAAAATACTAGTATACAGTCAAATCTAACACAACTAACTTTTTACTCTGACATTAACTAAGATTACATTTTTAAGGTAACAATACCATAGGGATGTGAAGCAATCATGCTACTCAAGAGAAATAGGATCTCTCAGGGATAACTTTTTAGAGAGTGGATGCATATAACATTGAGCTAGTGTGTGCAATTTTTAGCCTATTTGTATCAAACTCAATATATTTTTTCATCTTTTCAGTTGTATGTAGAATCAGCTTATCCTGGAAAGTGAACTGTTCAAATAGTATAAGGAAATGATAAGAGCATATGAAGTTCTGACTGGAAATGTATATCTTTGAAAAATGACCATTAATAGTGAAAGTTGGACATTTGGCTAAATACACTTGTTTTCCCATGCATTCAGCTCTTTGCAGAATATCATTAATGTGACTAAGCTGTCTATTAAATACTTATTTAAAAAAAGAAAGAGAAAACCTTATTTTAATGCATACCAAACATCCAAATTGTTTCACATTTAACATATATCCTTACAACGGTTCAGCCATTAGCCTCTTTCGACGAGGATATATTTGCGGTTAGTTATGCTAACGGCGCAAGAGCAACATACACCATTGGTAGCTGTTGTACAAGATATAAAAGTCATGTTATAGTGGGAGTGTTATAATAGATAAGAGAAAGAAAACTTACCTTAATAGCTGCGGGTCGTAAGTAAGGTTAAAAACAACAACCAACAAAAAATTACAAACTTCCCCCGAAATAAGCAGCAGCTGTTAACAAGTTAACAGCAACCGTTGCTATGCAACAAGGGCTAATTTCTCCCTGCGCTGCGACTGTCAGGCGTTAGGCACAGCTATCAATGTCTGTTAACTTCCATGATTCCCTCCCTGATTTATTAGATTAGTTATTTTGACTTCTCAATGTTTTATCATTTTAATCTACGAACAATAACTGTAATTACAACAGACGGTTCGTGATTTGTTGTATTTTGTTAGATTAGCTCGCCTTTGTGGTGGATGAAGAAAATACATTTATGGATTTACCTCAATCTAAACTTTCTCCATCCAGTCAAACTGAAGTTGAGCAATTTTCCAAAAAGAAAATGGGCAAAGTTTATGTTCTTCAGATGAATTTGTAGGTGCTGTATATCCATGTTTGTATATGTGCATCTAATACTGTCTAATATTATTTAGATTTAACATTTAGATTGCTAACATTGAGTTATATGTAACATGTGACCATTTTTAGCACATTTCCATTTTAAATGTGATGAATGTGTGTTGAATCTGAGAAAGGAAAGCTAAATAACAAAAAATACATAAATAAAAGCTAAATATCAGAAACCGGTCCACTAATTCTTTTATTGTAAAATTTCACACTTGGCACAAAAAGATTTCAGATCACATTGATCACATTGAGATCATAGTTTTCTGTTTACCATTTATAGCTATTATAAGGGTTTTGCAGGATGAACTGTGGTGAGCAGTTAGCTTTTAGCCTTTATTTAAAAAGCTAAATTTCATCCACAAAGTTTAGAAATAAGGACACATAGGATTTTTTTTTGTTGAGAAAGTGATGTTTTATTATAATTCAATTATTAGAGAGTTTGCATAAATGTTTTTTAATAAATTATTTGAACAGGACAGTTTTCTTAGAAAATAACTACCTTACAAAATCAGTCTGAAGTACATAATGTAACTATTGCACAAAAACAACAAAAAGGAGCATGTGTATAGTTCATACATTATAAAGAAAGCACAGAAAGAAAGGAAAATTGAGTTTCTATTTCTCAAAATCCCTTTTACCTAAATATGTTACAATGTTGAAATGTATTATTATAATAATTTAACATCTGAAAGAAAAACATATTAGTGGGCTGTAACTCATATTAATTCAAATTCTTCAAAGAGTTATTGAAAATAGTGTTGGTATTGGCAGGAAAGAGATTTTGTAACAGTCTCTGTTACAGCAAATTTGAAGAAGCCTTTGTCTGAAGACACTCTGTTTTCCCAAACAGTCTCATGAAGAGGATGGTCAGTCAGAGTTGTCCATTATTTTCTTAATTTTATTGATTTTATGGGGTTGAGGTCAGGACTACAGACAAGCTATTACATCCTCTCTATCATGCAATTCCGGAGGTATTCTCTCATAAAAGTGAAGCCTTTGTGAAAATTTGCACTATTAATGTTTAGCAGAGCTCAGTTTCTAATAGTGAATAAATAAGACCACTGCTGGTTGCACCATCATACCTTTTTTTTTCCACTGAGATTGTCAGAACATGCACTTCTTCCATCATTAGGCATTTGGAAAGAGGAGTTTTTCATAAGTGTAACTCACATGCTGAACTCTGCAGATGAACCTACAGGCAACATTTAAGGTGAAATAAACAGGGTAATAGAGTTCAGTCGGTAGGTAGGTAGGCAGATTGTTGGCAGGTAGGTAAAGAGGTAGGGAAGTAGATTGATTGGTTGGTTGGCTGGTTGGCTGGTTGGTTGGTTGGTTGGTTGGTTGGCTGGTTGGTTGGTTGGTAGCTTATTTGGCTGGTGGTGGCTGTGGCTCCTCCTGGGGCGGTGTTGGTGGGACGCCTTCTAAGAAAGTACAGAAGTACTCTGGAGTGTTGGAATCAGGATTCTTAAACAGCAAGTAGCATTTTGGGAAGTAATAAGCAACCACCAGCCCTAAGTTACCTGCCAGAGTGAAATAAACATGAACAGTAGACTTATTCTTTGACACAGTGAGTATATTTGCTGTTAACCCTGTATAGACTGGAATAAAGATCACCCAAATCACACAATAGATAAGAGTGGAGAAGGTAATATCCCTGGCAAGATTGTATTGATGATGAGGTTTAATTGCCATGAAGGTGGACATGAATGACACAAGGGCCATGGCAGCATTGAGGCCTTGCATGACAGCAAGTTTATCTGGAGACACAGGGCATGGCAAAAAGGTCTTCATGAAATTGATCTCCATATTGTTCTTATACGCAGTAAGAGAGGGTTCTTTTTGAACAAACCAGCCGCACAGTCCAGCCTGAACAGAACAGCAGATCAGCACAAACAGCCAGCTTCCAGGGCCTTGGAGCGTACGCAGGTGGGGAGCAACCTTCTTTGGGAACTCTGTCACAAGGAATATCTGTTTGAAAAGAAGAGTTTGAATTATAATTAAAATGTTCAATTCTTAAGTTTATCCCTTTGTGACTACCTGACTTAATCTGACAAAGAAACAACTGCAAAGGCAGTTAGAGGAGACATGCCTTCCCAACTTAAACAAACAAAAATATTTTGATTAAGTTATTCTCAGACAATGTTATTTTAACAAACATCCGCAAAATGTTTAGGTAGTAGAAATATCATACTTTCGGCACTGATAGCCTATTTATTAATAATCAGCTAATCTCCTGAATGAAAATTATTATTGTATTTATCTTTACCATCAGTTATTTTCTGAAGCTATTGGATAATTATTTTATTACTTATTTTTAAAACATACAAAATATAGCAATCCAGAAAAAATGTCATTATTTGCAAACCACATTGTTTCTTGTGCTCATGTAGTTTCTAGATGTTGCCACTTGGGTGCAGCATTGCACCTGAAAGTACTTGCCTGCAGTGAGATAGACAAGATAATGGAGAGGGCTATAGTTTGGAAAATAGTGATGAGTGGTAGTTGAAGACGACACACCACATCGTCAGGCTCCCCCAGGAAGAGAAACAAACTCAGACAGCCTCCCATCAAGCTGAGCAGAACGAGGAAGGTCAGGACTCCCCCTGAGGCCTTCACCAGTGGGGTTCCTCGGTGGATCAGGAACACGACAGCCACTGACACCTGACATATAAGCAGCGCAAGAACCGCCAGTATAATCTTCAGGGCATCAGTTGAGTCCCATTTCAAAATTTCAAAAATGGGGGGTGTGCAGTTAGTACTGCGATCATTGGACCACTGACGTTCAGGACACTTGGCACACTGGATGTCGTCTAGAGACAGAAAAAGAAACAGAACTTGATCATAGTCTGAATATGGTTAAAGATAATAGGAACTATATAAAAAAGAAAGAAGTTATGGTTTTTGCTGATAGCGGATTGACCTGTGGGATGCATTTACGTCTTCAATATGACTTTTCAACCATTAGCACCAATTGCTGAACCTTTTAAATCTAACACAGTATCCCACTCATGTAGTGTTTACAACCTCTCCTTGTGTAATGTCCAGAGAAATTTCGTCAAAATTCTTGTCAATGTTTACTAATGTTTTTTTGTGTTTATATAGGAATTCTGCAAACTTTGTGAGCAATAAACAAAATTCAGAATTATTTAATAGCTAATCTTAAATACTGAATCTGTTTAACTTTCAAATTTCCCTCTGAATTTATTTAAAAGAGTTACAATTCTAATTATTCTTATTTTTGAAACCTTCAATGTGTAAGGATATAATTTTATCTACAGTAACAGATTGTTGACATTTATAGTTTCTCTCTCTCTAAGGATTATGACAAAAAGAAATAATAGAATCCATCCTTCGTTGGTTCTGTAATCTGACATGACTGTACGTTTTTCAAAGTTTTCCTCTGATTGGACAACCACCATCTGATGATGACTCCCTCCCCAACATCTGCTGAGCTCTGAGACTCTCACAGCGACGACACAAGAGCAAGAATCCCCCTCACCTTGTTTCGAATGTTCTTCTGCATTGTGTGATTGTAAATGTGCAGGCATAAGGCAACTTGACATCTTCTTTTGTTTCTTGAAGATGTCTTTGTGGCAAAAGGCTTCTTTAGTTTTAAACATGGGTTGGAAGTAAAAGGTTTCTATATAGTAGTCAGACCAATTACATTAATTAATATCACTCACGGGGCATTATGACACGTGAGTCATTGACCCTACCCTCCATTCAGCTCAGTGTTTGGGTTGTTGTTGCTTGACGACCCAAACTAGATGCTATGTGAGTTACTTCAGTACACGTCCCAAGGCGTGAATTGATGTAAAACCTTCCTGGGAGACGATGAAGGCCACCTATTTGTGTGATTATTCTGACTGCTAGTTATAAAGCTACGTCCAGAACTGAAGAAGTATCTTTGTTTAGGGGTGAAACATCTTCATGAAACAAGAGAAGTCTAGTTGCCTTCGATCACACACCATTGTTCTTCATTTTATACGTTCATCAAATTTTTATTTGAAGTTGTTTTTCATCCATAGTGCCTCCATGCTCAGCACCCCCATGTAAATATTTGAACCCCTTTTAGATTTTTATCGTAAGCCCGCTTCAAAGCCACGTCCAAAGTGGGGAACCACAACCCCATTGAATAAACTGAGCCGAAACAACAGAAACAAAGCTAGAGCAGAAAAAATCGCAACTATCTATTCTGTCAAGGGTGAAAGAACCCTGGAGCAAAAACGCAAGTCGCTTGGAGAAAGAAAGTAAACAGCTGCGTCTGACCCACTGTCTCTTTTTCCTGCTTGATTTTGTTGGTTCTGGTATGAGAAGCTGACAAATCAAAGTTTATTCAGATGCTTAAAATTCCTCCTCCATTTTGTTTTCTCATTCGAATTAAGATTTGATATCAGAACTCACAGTTGTCGACTCAAAGACACTTCTTTAATTCTTGATGTACAACCGATAAGAGCTTTGTTAATATTTTGACTTCTTTCACTCTGTGTTTAATCTTAATTGGTGACTTTTCTTTTACTTAATGTAAATATTAATATAAATACTATTAAATTAATAATAAGAGAATAAATCTACTTTCTGATAAAATTTTGGTAGATTAATGAAGTTTATTAGCCAACACACTTCATGTTGATAAACCTCTGCATGTAATTTCCCTTTTCACAAATATATCTTGAAGAAGGCCAATTTCCCATTACCTAAAATGTACATCTACTCACTTACATAACAGAAGCATGGCCGATCACATTACCTTTATTTTCCTGGAACGTGCCAGCCAAGCAGTCAATGCAGTCATAGCAGCAGGAATGAAAGCCTTTGACTCTGCGAACCTGGCCATCGGCACACTGCGCTGAGCAGGTCGACAGAGGAACCTGAAACAGTTATGTGGAGAAGAAAAGTAAAAAAAAACAACAGTTTTTTCATATAAGTTGACTTAAGTATTTCAAAGAAGTAACTGAATTTACCGTTGAGTTCTCAGTGTGCCATTCAAAGCGAGATGCGTTGATGAACAGTTTGTTTTGATAGTAATTTCCCACATTTTTGAAGGCAACTTTGCCTGAGGTCTCCCAGGTCCACTCCAACAACTTGTACCCGACATTTGGGTTACCATTTTCGTCGAACTCTAAAATTGTGCCATTTATGTTAACGGAAGTATTCCTCAGGACCTCCAACAGCTGCAAAACCAGATGTAATTCAGATGTTTAAAAACATGCTAATTTTTAGCTGTGCTCAGTCAGCTGTCGGGCTTTTAACCAATGTTACCTTCCAGGGATAGATTTTTGAGTCTGGTCCCCAGTTACAGCCAGCTGAATCACACTCAAGCAACGTATGCAGTGCCTGCGCTACGCTGTAGACGGCAGAATACACTGCGAAGCCCAGTCTCTTCACTGCAAGGTCATTCACCAGGGTGATGTTAGCTGCTGACAGGTACCAACACTGTGGGCATGGATTGTCAGGATCATGAGACTTTGGTTGTATGGTAGCATTCTTTTCCCTTTCCTCGCTTATTTTTCTGAGAAGTGCTTCTGCGTAGTTGTTCAGTAAATCCAGACTATCCAACTTGTCAACAAACCCCATGATTGTGCCAATGTCTTTGATCTTGGGGATAGAAATTAGTCGATTGTGGATTATCCAGCTTGAGCTGGCGATCCACACACCTGTTAAATTTTCCTGGATGACCTGGAATAGATGAGAGGAGATGACTTTAATCGATACGGCATGTGCCTTTAAAATGTAATGAGTTTTGTTGCTTTATGGAGGTCTGAGAGTGCCACAGTTGATAAAAATGTGTAATTAATTGATTAAAACTTGAAATAGAAAATCAATTCTACATGATGAAAAAATACTACTACACAATTTTTCTTCAACATTTGATATATTCGCTTTATCTAACAGCACCAGAGGCTAGTGATACTTACTTCTCTTACACAGCGTTTCACAAGCCAAATACCTGACCTGATGTGAATGTTAACATATAAGACATTAGTATATTTTAAAGACTACAATAGCTGTTTAAATTATTACATGGACCACTGTAACCATAAAAAAAATTATAAAAAAAAAATATATATAATTTTTTTCCTTCCTTTCTTTTATGCCTTAAGAAAATAAAAAGAAATTTTGAAAAAAAATCCTGACACAAAGGATCACAATTCATGCATGAAAGGGTTAAATTATTTTGATAGTCATAGAAAACCTAAAACAGGAAAAGTTTATCTGATTTCAGACAGCACAAAAATTGTTATGTCTTTTATACAGTGTGTGCAATTATCTGGTTCCAAAGCAATTATTAAAAAGTTAATTGGGTGGATCACTGCCTGATTTTAATACATAATTCAATTTAAATAATTATTCATGAATTTTTAAATGTATTTTTCCCAGTTTAACTATAAAATACTGAATTTCTTTATTCATTATATTGTGACACTCTTTCAGCACTCCACACTTCTTCACTAACCTGTTCAAAAAAGAACGCAGCCGATTCTGGGAGGGCAAACACGATCACCACTTTGACCTCTGTTGTTCTGATGTTGTTGATGATGGTTCGGACTGCTGGTCCTGGGTCAGTGTACACCGGGATCAGGCCCTGATAGGCCACACACACAGACTTATTCTCTGCTACTTTGGAGAACTGCTGCACACCGCTTTGTCCATACTCCTCCTCACTGCCGATCACAGCGACCCAGGTCCAGTTAAACTCAGACATGAGCTGGACCATGGCATCCACTTGCCATTTGTCGCTAGGCACCGTGCGGAAGAATGATGGGTAGAGAAGATTATCGCTGAATTTGTCACTGGTGGCTCCGTAGCTAATCTGGGGCAGAAAGAGTCACGTTATGAAACAATCTCGAATAAACTTTGAAGTCAACATGGTTTGTTTGACCTTAAAACAAAAGTTATGGTAAAACTTTACACTGTGCACTTTAATGCAATAAAATAAAAATAAATGTTGCCAGGACTTTGCTAAATTTGATAATTTGAGACAAAATTGCCTGTTCAAATTTGGTAGATGTCACCATAATTTTGCAACAAATTCATTTTGCATGCAGAAATAAACTCAACATTCGTTCCAACATAACATTTTAATCAACACTTTTCAATCAAGTTTACAAAATGCAACTATTTCTGATGACTTGCACACAGACAGTGATTCTGTGGATAAGATGAATTACATTTAGTGTATAGTGGGCGTTCAGATTCAACAGACATAGAAATAATGACAAAATGGCATAAGTTTTGGAGGTTTTTTTTGTATAGAGCTGTATCTATAGAAATTATGACTTCCTAATACAAATTAATAAAACTGCAACGGTTCAGATACCTTTTGATGAGGAATCTCTATATTGTGAAATATAGTCCATTGTTTGAAGGTCGCCTGCTTGATTCTTAACTATGGACCTAATAAGAGTTTTCTCTGGTTATTCCAGCCTCAGTCCACAGAGATGCACTTTAGATCGTTTGCACCTAAGACTATTAGCCTTCAGTTCGAGTGTTTGCATGCATGCATGCATGCATGGCTGTGACACAGGCCTTCATCCCCTTCCAGCCATTTATTTGCTTACTGAAACCCTAACAGGACTAAGCAGAACTGGAAAATTTGTCAAGAAAGATGAAGCTCTTTTACAAAAGTGGCGTTTCTGTTTTGTGTTTATATCTGAAGTTGATCCCGGTGCTCAGCACAGGACACAGATAGTTATAGCACTATCAAACTACATGATATATAAAAACAATGTATTTTAGAAGACATAAATAAAAATTCTGTGGACCTAATGACGTTTTAAGGTTTATTTTTTTCTTCAAAATTGTTGATATAAACCAGAATATTTAGATGTGCAAACGTAAAAGACTTAATCACCTTGCAAGTATTGCTAAATCTCTGCCACACTTTATAGTTTGGGAGAAAAATCCAATCCTGATTCTGAACTATGGTATATTCTGTAATTTTATTCTTAAGATTTAAAGAATCGTACAACTGTTTTGTAAAAGAGAACAAATTAATACTTAATGACATACAAATATGATAAATATTTGAAAGTTTTCTACTGTTTTCCTCAACAATAAAAACAAAGCCAGTTAATGCAAGATACATTTATGTCCAAACCTGAGGCATCAGAAAGAAACCCAGAAGCTTTCCGATGACTGACACCATTTCCGAGGTATAAGGACCAATGACGGCTGATATGCTGGTTTCATAGTCGGTGTAATTGCACTCCACAGAAAGAGCGTTGGTTGTTTTCTCAGTGAGGAAGGAGATAGTGGGCTTCACAACGTTTGAAGAGTGTCTGCAGGTGTCGTACATTTTATAACCTAATTTGATGCCTGGCAGAAGATCCTGCTTTCCGTTGATCTCATCCACGGCATATTTCATCACCAGAGAGAGACCAAGTCCATATTCATTCAAACTGTGGAACAAATCAGAATCAAGTTAAGTTTAAACATGTATTTAGGTCTCATTTAACAGAAAAAAAAAATCTAAAACAAAGCAATGATTTCTCATAACTACATTACCTTTCACACTTGATGCTGTTCGGCTCACTAATGAGACCATTGCTGTTTGATTGCTGGTTAATTGGAAAAAGTCCTCCAAGAGTTACATCTCCAGGCAAGCTGAAGAGGTTTGTGGTGATGTTTTGGAACCACTCAGGCGAGCTGACGCTGGAGCACGGCCTGAACGTCCAGCACAGAGCGCACAGCAAATACAAGAGAGAGGCCATGATGGAGATACGCAGCAGACTGCAGCGACGGACGGGAAAACAGAGCACATATGTGTCAGCGTGTCAAGAAATATGGCTACATGCAAATTCACCAGTAATTCCCCTGCAGCCATTCAGCATGGAGTTAAGGGAGTGCCACACAAACAAGAAAAACAAACAAAAACATATGAATATATTTCCAAACAGAAAATTATTTGAACGTCAGATTAGCTCTAAGGTACAGGTAGGACTATATAAAATCTAAAAGAATAATAGTTCTTTTGCAACTAATGCATTATGCAAGTGCAATAATTTACTATTCATTTTCTTTGTTTAAAAAACGCATGCACCTACAGCAGCATTAAAATGTGACTTATCTGCCTGATTTTTAGTCATGTTCAGTGAATCAGAGCATAAATGAAAAGCCAATTTATTTTAGTAACTCAATCCACAAAGTGAAACACTGAACATGGATTAATTACAAACAAACCAAAGTTTTAGAGTTTTTATTTCTGTGATCTTCTGCTTCAAACTAATGAAAAAATGACACTGAAGATTAGAATATTACATCAGGCCAATGGAAATGTTTTCATACAAAAAATGTGTGTTTAATGAAAAGTATGTTTATACCTGCTTGAAAGTCATTCTTTTTTAAGATATTTTAAATCTGACAAGCGTCATTGGAATGCATGTTCTGGTTTATTGAATGTGACTGCAGTTACTGTTTGATTTATTCTGCATTTCTTCAGCATTTCCAGTGAATTTGTTCTGAATTCTTGAATATTGTTTTCTCCTTTGACATGAAACATGAGAGCTACAAAGTGTCACTGGCAAATGTTGATACAATGTATTGCACACCAGGCTTTTACATTTACGAATATTGAGGAAAAATTTCATTTTTGTCTTGGCAGAGGACCTATCACTGGCAGGAGGCAGGCGAAAGCACAAACAGGCAAGAAGTAGGGAGACAAAAAGCAAATCCGAAAAGAAACAGAGTGCGGTCAATACAGAGGAGAGGAAACAGATGATTGATAAGAACCAGGGGAGACCGATTGAGAAAATGATTCAAGGTGAAGCCAGTAAACAACAGGGAAACACTGGAAGCGTGGAAACGCAAGACTTGGAGAAACAGTAACTAACAACAAAACCCAGAAATGTACAAAAATGCAGAATCAACCAAAAACACAAAACATAAGCCCGCTTCTACAGGCTGCAACACACAACTTCTGTAGAAACTCCCCTGAAAATGCTAAAGCAATTACACCATGTATACTAAGCCTGCATACATCTGCCTGTCAGTGAAAGATCAAATGAAGGACCGATGTAAATACGAGATGAAAGTCTTTTTCCTCCTTACAAACATCTGTTGGCAGGGGTCGGGCTCTGCCTGCTGTTTTTGTGATGCTGGAGCCGATGCAACACACTTTGAAGCGCTTTGAGCTAAGAAACAAAAGAAACTAAAATAAAATATATATAATTTTTACCTAAAAAAGTGTCTTTAACACCTTTACAATGTCTGGAAAATACAAAATCCAATTTGTACTCCCCAGTTCTAAACACGGTGAGACAAAGTTTTACTTTCAGTTTTTGTTTTAACTTGTTTTTTGCTGGACATGTTCTTATGTTGACCCTTTTACTCTCATTTGAATTTTAATTAAATTGGTGGAGATTTAATTCTGGAAGGACATTAAAAACTGCACTCTAACCTGTTAGGCAATTTAAAACCAGTTTTCATTTCATAAAGGTAAGACAGAGGAACTCTAAGTTTGCATATTCGGTGTCTGTAAGCAGCTGAAGCTCATCTTTCCGGTGAATTTTCTTGCCATTTGCCTGCGGTTCACACAATCGCTGTAGTTATCTGTAAGGAGATGCTCATGATGTGGATTCCTTTAACCTACTTACCCCAGGTTGTTTTCACAACAAAGCCTCATCCGCTGTCAGCTAATATTTACATATGATGGTTATCATCACCATAATACATTAATCACAGATTGTTCATGTTGCCACTCATGAAACTCACCAATGTGTCTATACTCTCATAAATACTTACATGTTAAAAAAAACAAGGTTGTTTTGATCTTACATCACATTTTGACAAGTTCTGCATTTGCCACAGTTTTGTTTTTGCATGTTCTTTTGCATGAAGTGTTCATCCATTGATATTTCCTTCCAAGGTATTTGCATAAACCTACAGAGGATATATGAACTTGCAAATAAGTGTCTGATTAAGTTTTAAACTAGACAGGGTGTCTGACAGACTTCGTCAAGTAAAGAAAACTTTGCAGGTGTTTCATAGTTTACTTTAAATCCTCAAGCGTTGCATAAAGCTGTTTCAACTGCGCTTGTTTAAAATAGTGCAACACATATTTTGCATTCCAGATTAGAAACGGAAAAAACTGTGGAAATACAAGCTTGTGTAGTAAAAATGTTTTCCAAATTATTTAGAACATTCATTATTTCAACACTTAGGTTAAATTACTATTATTATCTAGTTTCGAATTTTACTTTAATCTTCATTTGATTTAAAGATATAAACTTCACATACCTACAAATAGTAAAAATGTGATTTTTTTCCACTTGAACTTCTTATGTTGATTATATTTTAGTGAGTTCATTTGATTTGAAGTCTTAAATTAACAAAAGCCGCAACATAAATTCAGTAGTATGCAGACTAATAATGCTTACTAATAAATTATATTATGAAGACATGAGTTATAAGCCACTGCAGAAAGGGAGAACCCACCATTTTAATTTAATAATTTATATTCTTTTTTTTTAAAAAAAAAAAAAACTATTATTCTAAATATTTGTTGATTTTACAAACAAGGACCTCAGCTGTGCAAAATGAATGAAGCGTTATTACCCATATTTATAAAGAATGTCAGATGCCAAGAAAGATATAATTGGACTTCTCTGGTCTTAAAACATCAATCTAACAATGTAATTTTCAAAAATATCTATTTGATTGGCAATAATAATTGTTTCCGATGACACTCTAAGAACTGATCTAAAAAGTAAAACCTAAGTAAAGCATGGAAATCAGGAAGTGGGGATGTTGTGTAGAACCATTCATATGCAGCGCTTCCTGAGGAAGAAAATTAAAGACAAAGGCAAAACGGAAACACATTAAGCGCATTAAAGTGTAAGAAAGAAGTGGGTTGTTGTCAATGCTGATCCTTTGTAGCTTCACTTTCATGCAAAATCCCGAACAGGATCAGCTCAGGGAGTGGTCTCCTCCGTGCTTCACATGGTTGAAAGAATTCCTCTGAATCACAAAGCAAATGCGCGATGCTCATTTGATTTGGAAATTGTGGAAAAAACCCACAATGCAAAGTAATCACTGAGAGGTCCTCCTAAACAACATGATAATTGTTAAATAGAAACGACTGGGGATTGGTCATGAGAACAACAGAAGAGAAAGGAACGCTCCTGAAAAGTTTCAACTCTGCATCTCAACTGCAAACCTTTTACATGCACTCCTGCAGGCTCCATTCATAACTTTTCTCTGCTGCCATGACAGTCTTTTTTATTTTTTTATGTAATCTTGTAAACTGGCCTGATTTGAAGGCATGTCAGTTACAGGAAGGGTTTGTTCCTGAATATAAAGGGAGGTATTCTGTTGCCTATCTAGTTAGTCATCTTGACGTAAGACGGCTGGTGATGAAATCCAGTGTTTTTCTTCTTGTGCCGCCTCTCTGTTTTTCCTACGTACACCTCATTCTTGCGCCTTGAGCTGATGTTTGAAGTTTGATTATCTCAGTGAATGGTCGGGATCTCTTTATTTGCTGAAACTTTGAAAAAAAGCTCACATGCCCCTGCCTTGATCTGGTGTGTGCGATTAGTGTGGGCACAGAACCGCTGTCGTTGTGCGCAGATGGTGGATTTAGATTAAAATCTTGTTTATGCTTGAACTGCTTTGCCTCTGAAGCGTGGCCTCACCTTGTACCTTTTTGTGTTGTACAGTCACGGTAAACTCTCATTGATGATGTGTGTCACCATCACATGAACGTACTTTGCTGTTTTGCTTCACAATATTTTAACAGATTTTACCCTCGTTGCTGCAGTGTTAACTTAATGCAGTATTTCTGCAACTTCAACTTTTCCACATTTTGTGTGCTTGAACCACATGCTCAATGTTGTTTTATTGGCATTTTGCATCACATATCAGCACAATGAAGCACATAATTGTACATTGGAAAGAATTATTATGCATGTCTGCAAATAAAAACCCCTGAGTAATATCCAGTCCAATCAAATGCCTTTAGAATCCACCTTATTAGCAAAGATATAACACTTCTTTTATCCCATTTTAGTGGTTTATTAGTTGGTTTCAGTGAACAAACAGCATCGACATTGATCAAGTAACACAGCAGACAGATCGGGGGATAAAACTGTGGAGAAGTTTAAAGCAGCGTCAGATTATGAAGCTCTATAGCTCTGTGCTGCACACAGAGCTCTGTTCAGTCCATCATCTGAAAACGCAGAGCGTAGAGCACAAATTAAAATGAGCAAAGACATGAATAAAGACCCAGACTGCCCGAGTGACAAGGAGAGCATTAATCAGAGAAACAGCCAAGAGCTCCATGGTAACTCTGGAGGAGCTGCAGAGATCCAGAGTGTTTCTGTAGGAGAACCTGTTGACTCTACTGCTGCTTGTGCTGCAATAAATAAATCTGGCCTTGATGGAAGTGAGTCAGAAATTCTGTTTGAAAAGCTTTTATGGTCAGATGAGACCAAAGTTAACTTTTTGACCTATATGCAAAAAAACAAGGCAAAAATGAACATCCACATAAAATTACATAACATTTACATAAAATCTGAATAAAATAAATCCAAGTTTATAGTTGTAACTTAAAAAAAGACAGTTCAAGGGGTATGGATACTGTTGCAAGGTGCTGTGCATACAGGAAAAAAAAAAACAAAACTCACTGACGTTTTGCCGGAGGAAATTTGGTAACACTTTATTTGAAGGGGGTTGAATAAGACTGACATGACACTTTCATAAACATGACATAACACCTG